CAGCTGGGCCAGTCTTCGATACAACTCGATACCATTATGGACTCATCATAGACAATCATACTATTCGAAGTTACCGTACAACACAATTTCTGCGATGATGGAAGTCGAGTGAGAACCTCGATTCGTCAGAAAACATGACATCTGGCCAACGTCGATTATACTAGTGCCGACGTTCCCCTGCTAACTGTATGCTGTCCCAGGATATGTGCTTCGTGATTATCATAATGGTGTGTTTGTGAGCTTGATTTCTTCGAAAATGTTCCTTTAGTTTCACCTCAAAATAAACTATCCTGTATATTTTGCAGAATATCTATATGGACTCCTTAGTGCACATATTGAAACTGACGATGAATGGATAAGCAAAGGTTTTGTGTTATTATTATTTCCAATATCTTTTTCGAACTATCCTATCAAGGCCACTTGAAATTACACATAGTGACATGTATGCCGCCCTCCTTTGGTGCATTAGAAGAATGTTTTTAGTGTTTCTCGAATAAAAGATATCTTACGGCGATTTTTAAATTACAGTGTTGGTGCCTTAAATAGTTGAATCCCCCATAGAAAGACACTGCCACATTCTTTGATCATGCTTCGTTACACTCCTTGTATGCTTCCAAATAGAAATGTCTTTGATGTGACAATGTGACACTTTCTGAGGAAAATCAGATAGATGGCGTGTCCAAAAATAGCACGCGTGCATTGATTTGATTGTCATTATTGGATATTTGACAAGTATAAATTTGCAGATCTAGGTAGCCACGATGTCATATTCCAGGAACAACTGTATTACTTACCTATATGTTAAACAAATGCGAGGTTAAAACAGTATGATCAATTCGCGCTTGTCTTCGAGCAACGTATAGCTATGCGGTTGCATTGCTACCGTTTTCGTTGGTGTGCCTGTAGAAAAAGCGTCCCCTGGAAGCAAATTGGATCGAAGGGACTGAAAGCAACCGTCTGATCTAATTGCTTTACTTGTCGCTCCACTGAATTAATTTCCGAACTAAATATCTCTCCTCTACAGGAAAGCATTCAACTAATGGACATCTGAATGCTCTGATGTTTTTTGCTTGCAAAACCATGAAGTCTTTTCTGTATACTTATTGAAGAAGCAGCTGAACAAAACTATTTTACTGACACCTTAATTACCTTACTTCTATGTTTTGTTCAACAGATCATATTTCAAATGATTCAACGTGCAGACGCATTGATAGATGATGTGCATGTTCACTAATTCCAGCTACGGTTACACTGTCGAACCATGTCACAATGGTGGCAGTTCTTTTGAGGCTCTTGTCTCACATTTCACATGTTTCCTGTTCATGATTTGGAAACAAAACTGCCAATCGAATGTCTTATTCTCACTAGCACCATTACTGATAAATTGCAATACAGAATTATTGATTCAGAAAAGAGATAATCTGACATGAACTTCGCATTCATGTAACCTTCCAATAGTTAACAGTGATCTGTCATTTACAATATATCATTATCATGATTACATTGTAAGCGTATTTGCTTTGTATGAAACTCTCGCTTATGACGTTACATGATGTCTTTTGGATTAGATTCTTTTAAAGGCAACAGCAAAATTATAAATTATAGAAAGCGCCTTTGTTCAAACACCACAGCGGAAAAGATGTTCAGTTATCCATATGTAATCAATCATGTTAGAGAGATTAAACTGTTTGCGTTAATGTAATTGATGAAAACAATATGATACTTATATGCGTCATATACCACTTATAGGTGGCGCGGCTTCTCTTCCCAGGTTCGTATATTTCCAAATACATGTTTTGGTAGGAGGTACTCTTTGCAACATTAACTGTCGTAAACATGGGGCACTTGATATTCTGTAACGCCTCTGCCCGTGCAGCTCGCGACTGGTGCTCTCAGACACAGCCCTTCAGTTGTCACAGTGTCATTACTGCCACGCTTATGAGGGATATGTGTAGGCGAGACTATCCATACATATTACCGAAGATTGTGTCAAGATGGCCGAGGCTCCCCAGAGGATAACTAAAACAATCGAAAATTTCAGCATTCTTCTGCACTAATTAGTGCGTTGTAATTGTAACTCCTTGAGACGGGGTTCTTTTACAATGGGGGACTGTGTTGACTTAACACGCAGCCAATCAGGTTCACCGTGAAGGCATTGGTTTGACAGGTACTTAGTTTTCAGCATCTGACATCACGAAGTCTCTATATCCTTGTGAAACAAACATCCAACAAAAGATTCAGGTTACATTTCTGACACTGCACCTCAACAATACATTTATGATATAATCTAGATACTCAGTGCATTAGCGTATGTGGAACGTGTGAAACAATGACAAATGCTTCATCAGTTTTTGTTCGTCTTGCTCATCAGCCTTAATACAGCCAGCATCTCCCGGTTTGCAGCATCTCCGGGTTTGGCTGATACACCAATACGAACGAAACGACCTAAGAGAGCTACAAAATGAGCGTCCGTGTGTATTTTGCTTTTCTGCTCAAAAGCTGACAACTAACCAGATCTATTTACGATCTTTAGATCTCTGACATTAGACTAATAATGTCGTGATAAAAGGCTGAATCCATCACAACTGTCTAAAGCGCCAATTGTTTTAATTACAAAATTTCAGGACACAGCATTTTAATCAAGAAAGTTGTGTGTCTGACGGGTTTTGCATTTCAATCTAATGAGATAGAATTATCCATTGTGACGCCAGTCGTAGACCTATACAACTTCGAGAGCTCATGGATGTATTCATCATGAGTACGAGCCCGTAACGATCGTATCTCAGCACAACTAAGTGTCACAGTCTGAAGGAGCAATCTGGAGTAAGAAATGGGTCGTTCTTCAAGACCCTCGTGGTCACACTATTATTCGAAATGAAATAGTCATATTTTTATACGAGTATAATAGAACAAGAAATACCATGACGTGTATTTGTCAGTAAAATAATACTTTCCAAATAGGCTAAAGATGCAGAAATGTCGATATAACAATTGATCTGAGAAACCTGTCAGTCTGTCTCCGCAACGGAAGAATTATTTGCTTCATATTGGATGTCTGTGTCTCTGGAGCCCATTTATCACAAAGATTGTCAGAAGTAATCATCTGTTCTTCAGTATCATAAATAAAATCAACACCAAACATCTTCATACCTGTATGCTATGTGTCGGTAACACTGTTTCTCAAATGTTCATTCCACCTTAAAAAGCTAGCGTATAATTACCGAACTGCTTGAGGCGGAGACATGCCAAGACGAAAATGACGCTAATCTGAGTGTCCACAACAACTCCCACTGTACTTATGGTGCTGCTTGGTGACAGGAAAGACCGATTAAAGATCGGCCCATCCACGTAATTGAAGAAGCAATTACGAAAAAGTAAAAAAGTCACCGTCCCTGCCTCTGCCACATCGTACCCGCAGAGCGCGAAGTGTCAACAATTCCAAACAGTTCTTCCTTCAGGATGTGTTCACATTTTATAGCTGTGAGGAAATTGCACAAGCTCCAGATGAAGTGCTTTCCATTACGAGAAAACGCACTGTGCCGTTTATCAGCTCTGCCCTATACATCTAGACATGCGGGTTATCTCCTTCCATTTTATTTTCCAACATTCCATCGGACAGATTGATCGTCCTCGCTCAACACGGTGGAAATAGGACCATGATTGCATGTAGTACAAACACCTGAGGACGGGTGTGGTAGCATTATAGTCAGAACACATGTTATACAAGGACTTGGCTCAATCAGTCTCAGCCAAGGTGTCTTCTAGCGTGGAATACTCACACACGTTATCACAGCTTGAAAGCTGTGTGAATGCAATATTAGAGACAATGAATGATGTTATAACGTTGGCTTAATGTACTTAAAGGTTCGCAAACGTTTTGTGGTGCTTTGTATCGAACTTTGAAGTATAAACTGTTTTACAAAATTGTTTGCTCGTTTAAGGTGACAAAAGCACCAGTTGTTGACTAATTACACACTATGAAATACATTGTAGATAATTATTAAAGCGGATATTATAGTTTATACGTTGGGGCGCGGTGGGCGAGCTGGGCGAGCTGGGCGAGCTGGCTAAGGCGCCAGGCTAGAAATCCAGCGAGGTTGAGGTGTCGGGATCGAGCCCACCCGTTACCGGGTGTAAAAACCTTGGAGTCATACTGTGCAGACTCTTTCAGTGTTGTCACAACCCCTAGTGTACAGTACACAACCCTGTGCACTTAAAAGAACCTACGAATCCGTTGGTATATGACCAGGTGGTGGCCACATGAATACGTGCAAACACCTAGTTGCGGGTACAGCACGTGCAGTGAACTTGGACAAAGCACTGTGACTATGTGTCCCAGTCCACCCAGCTGTGAATGGGTACCTCGTTAGGATGAGAAAGCCACAATAACTCGGTGCGCCTAATGGCTGCAAGAGTTGTATACTCCCAGGGAGTTGAGATTGATAATACGATGTGCCGTTGAGAATGACATCCAATGATCGAGGATAAAAATACCGTGCACTAGTTGCCTGGGTATGTGCGCTATATAAATATCCTATAACAATAATGATACGTTGTAACGTGCTTAAATAATGATACATATCTATGTTCCGGTGTGTATGATATATCAGTGGTTTACAAACTAAAAATATCACAATTGAATTAACTCGTGAAAACATCTTAATCGCGTTTGTAAATGTATTCACACACTCAGTACAACATATCGATGCCGTCAGATATGTGTAATGAATTCGCGTATATGCGTAAAATTATAACTGCCGAAGTTACACCTCTGTGGTTTATGTGTTACTTCCGAGTTAGTTTACTGTACATTATAGGTGAGAAAAATCTGTTTCTTTAGCAATTTTGTTGTTTGGTTTATTCCAGGAATGCGAGATATGCATCGGGATACCCGAAAGAATAAAGATATACGGTAATCTCCCGAAAGTACTATTTTGAAATTAGGAAATAGTTCAATGGTAAAGGGACAATGCTTAGGGACCGTTCATATTTTATGGTGATAATGATTTTAAGGGGAGGGGTTCACCCATTTTGTTCTGGGGAGGTAGGGGGGGTCATCAATTATGTACACATGCCCTTACTTTTGTACATGACATACACTTACTTTGTACGTAGATTTTAGGGGAGGTCAATCACATTGTACATGCTTCCCTATAAAAAATTATCACACACACCCCCCAGCCATAAATTATTAACGGTCCCAAAAGTCTCCTTTTTAGCAACTGTTACTACTTATCTGATGAAACATATACTGAAACGTAATACATAAACGATTGCAGAATAACCTCACTTATTTAGGCTTTACTACTTACAATACATACTCGATATCTCGTTCGTAGACCGTACAGTAGATCGGACAATAAAACTGCTGTTTTAGTTTTTGAAATTGAAGTTTCTGTAACGTTTCTGAATCATAACGCCCCCAGTAAATGCATGAATGCATTCAGTTATTTGTTTTCGTCCTTCCTCTTCACTGACCATTAACTATATCCAATATATTTTTGTTAACACTGGCATTTTGATTTACTCCCGTACGTGCGTTTTTTCCGGTTTGAAGTGCAAGGAACGGAACCCTGCTTATCTGTTCCTGCAATAGGATTCTTCCTCCGCTATCAGCCGCTCTCAACACGATTCCTGCAACAGTTAGAACTGTCAGCTCCTGAATTTACTTTTTGAAAGGTAAGTGATTAAATGCTTTCTTGCGCACGTATCAGATTTTTAAACTACCGGGTAAAAGAAAGTTATCACCGACTTTCTTGATCGAAAAATAGAAATAAAAGACGTATGTAAGATTTATGATAATTATTTCACAAATAAAAATCATTTTCCAATAATTTGACTGAAAATTCATTGTAATGCTAGTCTTGCATTTGCCTCAATGCATTAAGAAAGAGTCAAGGGGGGTAAAATTTAAATTTACACAAATCAGAGTTCATTCTTGCATAAGTCTTGGCATATAATATATTATTCGTGATGTGTTTTTTTATTAATGCATGCTTGCTCTGTCCAACATCGGTATTAATGGCACAATCATGCTCGTGCGTTTGGACCAATGTCCCACAATTAACGTTTTTCACGTTTTGAAAAAAATACGTACGATTCGTACGAAGTTTTCGGACAGCTGTGTGTGTGTGGGGCGGTGGGGTAGCCTAGTGGTTAAGGCGTTCGCTCGTCACGCCGAAGACCCGGGTTCGATTCCCCACATGGGTACAATGTGTTAAGCCCATTTCTGGTGTTTCCCGCCGTGATATTGCTGGAATATTGCTAAAAGCGGCGTAAAACCAACCTCACTCACTTACTCACTCGGACAGCTTTGTTGTTATCGAGACCATGTTACGTTTGGCGAAGGTTTTCTGCTTGGGTTCAAACCTGTACCAGCGTTTTTGTTTTTTTGTACAATTACTTTAAAAGTGATAACATTATCTTTTCCTGTTGTTTATGTTCGCACAGAAGATATTGATAGAAATTGGATGACTGACCGTATAATGATCATAATGTCAATAGACAACAAAATTGTAACCGATCTCTTCAGTGAGCCTCGATTGTATTAGGCGTCAAATTGTTACAAAGGAAAGATAATAGGGGAAGAGCCTGAACCGACAGAAACAGAACACAGAAGTGACATGCCATAACATATAGAGGGATACGAATCGTCGTCAAGTGCAAGGAAATTCGATGACCTTTGAAATTGTAAAGGATCCTATTGTGTACAATGTGTATTCTTTCTAAACCTTATATTCCCAGTTGTTCCGATACCCCCAATTTTATCAAGATCAATCAAGCAATGAATATTTGAAACAGCTGGGTGTAAAAGGGAACTGTGGTAACAATGTTCTTGGAAGGTTGTTCGTTGGTAAACAGCTTTGTGAAAACATTGGCATGACACTTTTGTGCTGCAACAACGTTCATACGAAGTAAATTGTTAAGTGGGTATACACAGACGTCGACAGATATTTGAAAGACTTTGGGTTTTAAAGATTCGTAAACACACTTTCAAACATGATTACAAAGGATGCAAACATACGTCCTTGTAATAGTAACAGCGGATTAGCGGGATTGTTCCGTGTGTATGGTCACACATGCAGATATTACAATGTAGCACATTCTTGTGAGTATTTGGACAAGCAGAACAAAGCGAACATGATTGGTAGACGTGTGTTCATCGCTGTTCTCATGTGTGATATTGTGTTTCATCTGGTTCACTTCTGAGTTATTTTATCGCTTTTCATCAATTATCTTGAGCTGATTATCAAACATTCGCGTAATAAGTGTTTTTGCCATCAAAGAACTCAAGTAGAAATATCTCCATTAAACATCCAACATCTGAAGTATTTTATGCGGGCGGTTGTGTTTCCTGGCAAAGACTAAATATCTCAACAGCCCTTAATTAGATCCGAATTTCAGATGTTGCCAGTTTAAACAAGCCGGGCAGCTCACCTTCATTACGTCGTGTCGCATACTTCAACGTATTACATCGGTCAGGTTGGCAAAGTAGTAATAGAAAGCAATTTTAAAGGTGGCATGTCTTCAAAGAGAAACAGTTAATGGGTCCGTTATTCAACAGATGTATGAGCCAAGTGGTATAGACGCAACAGAACAGCCCACGTAGCCAGGTTATGTCCTGATCCGACTGTCTTCAAAGAAACATACAGAAATTAATTAGACCAATTAAATCTACATGTGCGTTATAACTCATCCAAACATTTCCAATCAGGCCAAAAATGTTTATAAGAGTTTCATTATTTACCTTTGACATGAAACTATTTTGTAGCCTTAAGACATGTTTACTAATGGACAAACACGCCACCATCAATATCAGTCGCCCGATGAGCACTCCGTGGAAACGTGTCTCCTCCAAACTCCACACACTCTCTCATGTTTCATGTTTCATGTTTCATGTTTGGGACCATCCATCATTAATCGACACACGTGCCGTGAAATGCACGGAAGGTGTACAGTTTATATCTTGGCTCGTTTGGGCGGCCTCAGCGAACTGTAAGCGAAAGCTAAAGCTTTCTGATCATGATGCGGTAAAACGACCACTAATTCAGTGGTATGTTGGTTGATGTCGCCGTAACTCCGAGCTGATTATATGAGTTAATATAGCAGAATGATTTACTGGGGACTTGTCATGGTTGTTGTATATACATAGCTGCATGAGTAAGTACGAGTTGTTGATTATTATGATGTGTCTGTGACTGTGATGTGTCTGTTACCGTGATGTATCTGTTACTGTGATGTATTGTTACTGAGATATGTCTGTGACTGTGATGTGTCTGTTACCGTGATATGTGTCTGTGACTGTGATGTATTGTTCCCGTGATGTGACTGTGATGTGTCTGTTACCGTGATATGTGTCTGTGACTGTGGTGTATTGTTACTGTGACGTGTCTTTTACTGTGATGTGTCTGTTACTGTGATGTGTCTGTGACTGTGATGTATCCGTTACTGTGATGTATCCGTTACTGTGATGTGTCTGTTACTGTGCTGTATCTGTTACCGTGATGTGTCTGTGACTGTGATGTACCTGTGACTGTAATGTATCTGTAACCTCATGTATCTGACTGTGATGAGTCTGTGACTCATGTATCTGTGACTGTGATGTGTCTGTGACTGTGATGTATCTTTGACTGTGATGTATCTGTGACTGTTACCGTGGTGTATCTGTGACTGTGGTGTATTGTTACTGTGACGTGTCTGTGACTATGATGTATTGTTACTGTAATGTGTCTGTTACTGTGATGTGTCTGTTACTGTAATGTGTCTGTTATTGTGATGTGTCTGTTACTGTGATGTGTCTGTGCCTGTGGTGTATCTGTTTCTGTGATGTGCCTGTGATGTATTTGTTACTGTGATGTGTCTGTTACTGTAATGTTTCTGTTATTGTGATGTGTCTGTTACTGTGATGTGTCTGTGCCTGTGATGTATCTGTTTCTGTGATGTGCCTGTGATGTGTCTGTTACTGTAATGTATCTGTTATTGTGATGTGTCTGTTACTGTGATGTGTCTGTGCCTGTGATGTATCTGTTTCTGTGATGTGCCTGTGATGGATTTGTTACTGTGATGAGACTGTGATGTATTGTTACCGTGATGTGTCTGTGACTATGATGTATAGTTACTGTGATGTTTGTTACTGTGAGGTATTGTTACCGTGGTGTGTCTGTGACTGTGATGTATTGTTACTGTGATGTGTCTGTGACTGTGATGTATTGTTCCCGTGATGTGTCTGTTATTGTGATGTATTGTTCCCGTGATGTGTCTGTGACTCTGATGTGTCTGTTACCGTGATGTGTCTGTGACTGTGATGTGTCTGTTACTGTGATGTATTGTTACCGTGATGTGTCTGTTACTGTGATGTACTGTTACGATCATGTATCTGTGACTATGATGTATCTGTTACTGTGAAGTCTCTGTTACTGTGCTGTATCTGTGACTGTGATGTATCTTTTACTGTGGTGTAATTGTGACCTTGTGACCGTGTTATCATAATAGACACTGCTAGTCTACTGGTAGGTGTAATGTAACAAACAGTTGGTCTGTAACAGATGGTATATAGAGAGTGTTCTGGGAGGCAGTTGCCATTACTGACCGTCAGTTAATATATCTAAGAAGCAGTTGGCGTGTCTGATCTGCGGTTGAGATATTCGATTGGGACATAATATATCTGACCGGCAATTAGCATCTGACAAGCAGTTAGTATAGCTGACCGTCAGTTACTATATCTGGCCACAGTTACAGTTTATCTGACAAGCAGTTAGTATAGCCGACCGGCAGTTACTATATCTGGCCACAGTTACAGTTTATCTGACAAGCAGTTAGTATAGCTGACCGACAGTTACTGTATCTGGCCACAGTTACAGTTTATCTGACAAGCAGTTAGTATAGCTGACCGACAGTTACTGTATCTGGCCACAGTTACAGTTTATCTGACAAGCAGTTAGTATAGCTGACTGACAGTTAGCATCTGACAAGCAGTTAGTATAGCTGACCGGCAGTTACTGTATCTGGCCACAGTTACAGTTTATCTGACAGGCAGTTATTATGTCTGACCGACAGTAAGCATCTGACAAGCAGTTAGTATAGCTGATCGGCAGTTACTGTATCTGGCCACAGTTACAGTTTATCTGACAAGCAGTTATTATGTCTGACCGACAGTTAGCATCTGACAAGCATTAGTATAGCTGACCGGCAGTTACTACATCTGGCCACAGTTACAGTTTATCTGACCGGCAGTTATTATGTCTGACCGACAGTTAGCATCTGACAAGCAGTTAGTATAGCTGATCGGCAGTAACTGTATTTGGCCACAGTTACAGTTTATCTGACAAGCAGTTATTATGTCTGACCGACAGTTAGCATCTGACAAGCAGTTAGTATAGCTGACAAGCAGTTACTGTATCTGGCCACAGTTACAGTTTATCTGACAGGCAGTTATTATGTCTGACCGACAATTAGCATCTGACAAGCAGTTAGTATAGCTGATCGGCAGTTACTGTATCTGGCCACAGTTACAGTTTATCTGACAAGCAGTTAGTATAGCTGATCGGCAGTTACTGTATCTGGCCACAGTTACAGTTTATCTGACAAGCAGTTAGTATAGCTGACCGGCAGTTACTCTATCTGGCCACAGTTACAGTTTATCTGACAAGCAGTTAGTATAGCTGACCGGCAGTTACTGTATCTGGCCACAGTTACAGTTTATCTGACAAGCAGTTAGTATAGCTGACCGGCAGTTACTATATCTGGCCACAGTTACAGTTTATCTGACAAGCAGTTAGTATAGCTGACCGGCAGTTAGTGTATCTGGCCACAGTTACAGTTTATCTGACAAGCAGTTAGTATAGCTGACCGGCAGTTACTGTATCTGGCCACAGTTACAGTTTACCTGACAAGCAGTTAGTATAGCTGACCGGCAGTTACTGTATCTGGCCACAGTTACAGTTTATCTGACAGGCAGTTATTATGTCTGACCGACAGTTAGCATCTGACAAGCAGTTAGTATAGCTGACCGGCAGTTAGTGTATCTGGCCACAGTTACAGTTTATCTGACAAGCAGTTAGTATAGCTGACCGGCAGTTACTATATCTGGCCACAGTTACAGTTTATCTGACAGGCAGTTATTATGTCTGACCGGCAATTAGCATCTGACAAGCAGTTAGTATAGCTGACCGGCAGTTACTGTATCTGGCCACAGTTACAGTTTATCTGACAGGCAGTTATTATGTCTGACCGACAGTTACCATATCAGGTTGGCAGTTAGCATATCGGACGAGTAGTTAGCATATCTTACGGACAGTTAGTATGTCTGAACGGCAGTTAGTATATCTGGCTAGCACCTTGTATATTTAACAGGCAGTTACTATATCTGACTCACAGTAATAGTTTGTCCAATCGGCAGTTAGCATATCTGACTAATAGCTAGGATATCTGACAGACAGCGTATTTGACTAGCGGTATAGAAGTATATCGATGGGCGTCACAAGATATTTCATGCTTTGTGCGCTGATTGTCACGTCACGCAGCGTCACTTTTGATGCAAATAGCTGTCAAATTAGATCAAAGCAACTCTGAGGCACGTTCTCAAATTCATTTCAAGAATTTATTATGCCTTACAACTCTTACAGCCGCGTCTGTAGCCGGGATTACGTGGGCGGACTTGTTTATCACGCACTTTCGCATGGGAAACGGATCTTACATGTAGTGATGCCGTGTCCCCCTATTGTCCGCACCGTCTATCGATAGTGACCAGGCGGAGTCTCGTGTTAGTGTACACCATTAACGTTACAAAGAGGCAAGACGTGATATTGACGGATTCTGAGTCTACGCTTTAACCCTTTGTGCATCTGACGGTCATATTCCAAGTCAGTGTGCGGTGAAGAGATCGCCTCGGTTTGAGTTTATGCAGTGCAGCGTATGTGATCAGAATATACCTATACTCCATAACTACACTCGCTATAACAGCTGCCGTACCACATGTTTTCAAGGCTATTTCAGCTTATTAGCTGTGCTCTACAGATGTACATAGTTGATCTGAAGTCATGCCACATAGAATATACTTCACACATCGGAAGTACTTTGTAGTGCATTGATAGGAATCGTAAAAGGACGTGACGTCATCTACCAAGGCTGGGTAATACACGACGCCGATGGTTGTCGCGGCTGCCGTCTCTCCAGCTGGCATACGAAACCTCCACGTCAAATACCAATGTATATAGGATACGGTTGTCGTTACTACATCCAAACAGTTCCAGCGTTTTAATGATTTCAGAGAGCGTGAGTCAGTGTGCGAACAATCCTTGCAGATATTTGAGGCGAGAGACAAACACAATTAAAATCTCAGTCCAATTTCACGTTCAAAGGTAAAAAGTTGAGATGAAAATATTTTGTCATATAGTTTGATTTCTGATAAATATCCCAAATCAGGTGGTTATATTGTTTCAAAAAGTCCGAGCGTAAATATGTGTCATAAACACTTTCTCTGTTAAACGGGGGATCAGCACAGTCAAACCAAATATATTACTGTTGGAATGCAGGATCTTCACCTCTGTTAAACGGGGATCAACACAGTCAAGCCAAATATATTACTGTTGGAAAGCAGGATCTTCACCTCTGTTAAAGGGGGATCAGCACAGTCAAACCAAATATATTACTGTTGGAATGCAGGATCTTCACCTCTGTTAAACGGGGGATCAACACAGTCAAGCCAAATATATTACTGTTGGAAAGCAGGATCTTCACCTCTGTTAAAGGGGGATCAACACAGTCAAACCAAATATTATTGTTGGAAAGCAGGATCTTCACCTCTGTTAAACGGGGGATCAACACAGTCAAGCCAAATATATTACTGTTGGAATGCAGGATCTTCACCTCTGTTAAAGGGGGATCAACACAGTCAAGCCAAATATTACTGTTGGAAAGCAGGATCTTCACCTCTTTTAAGATAAAGAGGAGTAGAAATTAAAGGTTTAAGTTAAGCAATGGGAACGATATACTATGTCATCATAACTAGAATGAGGGCAACTCTGTCTTGCCTCGAGTCTCATTGTGGTCGATATATATATTGCGAGGCGCGATTGAAAAGTAGTGGGCCCCACTACAAAATTATGCAAATGCAGCTTTTGTTCTAGCCTCACGGTCCCAACTTTGTTTCCCTTTTTTCTTGGTAACCCCGCAAAAAGGCAGAACCTGCAATAAATGCATTACAAACGTAAGGAAACAAACTACTCAAAAACATTTTGTGTGTTTAAGATAGGTAGAAGTCTGCTAGAGTCAAACTTAAATATTAAAGTGCAAAAAAAAGCAATTTGAAACTACAATCGCTTGTTGAAGAGCTTATTTTGGAGACACTACCCACTCCCTTTCAGATAACGTAATCATAAGGACATAACTTATTCTAATGTTTTCACCTATTCATACGTGATGCCAAAGGTTCGAACTAAATACTAAATGGTCACACACGTGTCAGCTCTCAATATATTGTAAACAGTGCCAGCTTGGATATCTGGACACAATGTTTTTGAAAGACTAAAATGGAGGTGTCCTTAAAAAAAAACAGCCCCCGTCTAAATCTAAATCAGGCAATCCAAACCTTTGACTGTTGATTATGACGGGACGTCACCCAATACTATACTGATCATATTTTAATGATATTATCTGACGGTATACCATTATCCAAGAGGAACCAAATGATCGATCGTTTTACATTTTCTGTAATTCTTTTAGAAATAGTGTACCCCAATGTGATGACTAATATCTTGTTAACCACATTACCCACATATGTGTAATTTTGGATATGGCTTTGCTAATAATTCCTTCAAAATATGGAATTTTTTCAAACATTGGACATCGAGAATATAATTAGGCCGACTACTTTTTTTATCGCCCCTCTTACTAGTATATTGAATCTGATATATAATGTTGCAAATTAACCAGATGTCGAAAAAGTGCTGAAATATATCTGTGTGCTCGAAAGCTACACGTATAATACCAACCAAACATTTTCACAGCTCAGTGCTCAAGGGAAGATAAGATACCACTTACTGGACTTTTTCCAAGAATCGAGTTTTGGCATCGGAAGTTGCTGAGCGTGTCATTACAGTTAAATATTCGATGTGACATAGACATATTTTTCAGATTGTGTAAGGCATCTCTCTCATGTTCTAAAGCTAGACCTATAATACATACGGAGAGTTAGCTCAGTGATCAAGGGAAGATGATATCTCACTTCTTGGACAATGATCAAATTACTCTTTTCCAAGAACGGAAAATGTAATTAAATTGAGCTTTCATATCGGAAATGTTAAACGTGCCATTACTGTTAAACAATCGATGTGACATTTTATAAAAAACTATTTTGCACATTTTGTAAGGCATCTGTGGCAGTCATATTGAATAGGGTTCATGTTAGGATGGAAGTTGTTCGACAGACATTGCGAGCATGCCGCTGCGTATGAAGTCCAGCCACTGGACAACATATCCTTGATAGCTGTCAATCCCTCAACGTCTTTAATGCAAAGATATCCCTGAGATCCACTTAAAAACATTAAAGACTTAGTTTGAGGTGAGCTGACCTGACCATATGTGTCTGTGGCTTGTATTCTTTACTCTATTCGATATCATCATGTTATGAGGGGCAAAATGTCTTGCTGTGTTTGTTTTTATACGGGTGACGTATGTTTTAGAAACAGGTCAAGACACACATACCAGCAGGTAGAGGAACGTAAATGTTAAACACGAATATACAATAATACGTATGGCGAAACAGAAAACGTTTATTTAATTTCTTTCTACTGAAGCAAATCAATATTACTATTGTTTGAATCTCGAAATATTAACATCACATCGATACCTCTCAAGTCGTGTTGATTTATCTGCGTTTTAACATTACAAATCAAGTGCGGTCCTACCTCATGGAAGTGAATGTGACACGTGTTCATATTTATGTTTTCTATCGAATTACAGACGAGTTTAGTATATAATGGTAAAACATAGTAATCTTTACGTCACCCTTCGTTAGATATTTCCTTGCAGCGGGAATGGGCCTTTCATGGTCCTTGTTTCAGCACTGTAATCATGTCATAATTACCTATACGACATTGTAGCATGCTGATTAGATTAGATTACTTCATTCAAACATATTTGAAGGCACAGTAGACAAAGGTGTGTCAAACATGAGGCTGGAGTTCATTCATTTGTTATGCCGCCTTCCATTAGATATAAGATGAATGTCAGCATGATCATCAACGAATTTAAGTGCAGCGACGTACAATGTAGTGACGTAAATTGGGTAATATGAGTATTGAATCTTCCTACTGGTTACTTGTAGGAATAAATTATATATTTTGCCTCAAAATGTCGTATAATGTAGTCTAGGGGTATGAGGCTGAACAGATAGCGCTGCTACCTAAAATTACATACATCCCGTTCGAAATCACTCACGGTGTTGCCCGGTAGTTTATTTCTAACACCGTATGTTCATGCCGCCATGTCTAGCAGCCGAGAGGAATCTGGTTGCAGCTGTTACACTGGCCATCATTGATGACCTGGTTATTATACCTGTTATTTCAGACCAGTGGATCGGACACCATCTACTCAAACAAAGCGTGATCATAGCCGTCCCTCTTTCCGACTATGTTGATAAACTGGAAACACGGCAGGATCAAAGAGTAGTCCAGGCTGCCAGACACGAAACCATTACCAACTTTCCAGTCTATATGTCTAAGCCAGATTAGCTTCATGTCACAGAAGGAAGTCTACTTATATTTAAGTGAAGTTCGGTTTACTGTCACAGACAAATTGTGATCATTAGGTCACATACAGGTTGAACGAATCTGAATGCTGACTAGCAGAAGTGTCCTTGGTCTGCACACTATAGCCTGGTTTTCAGTACCAGCAGCGGCAGCAGAAACTGATGAGGCTCGTGCAGATCGTGTCCCTCGAGGCACGTACAGGTCGAGAGTAAAAGGGAGTATTACTGTGGGGATTTACAACTATCGTGTGATCAGGGAGAAACCTGTGTTGAACAAGGTTTGAGTTGCACAGGGCACTTATGACAGCAACATGTGTCGTTGCGGGCGTTGTTTTGAATAAAGAGAGTGTTATTTATGAATCTGCACTTCAAACCAACAACGCCGATTTGTCAAAAAGAATCTCTTGCACAAGGAATCGTTGGTACATAACATGAGCACAATTTCTTGAAATACCATCGCATTCTCAAATGATCTGTGTATCAAACGATTGCAGGTATATTTTTCATACTGCGAAACGCCGTTTGGATGGAACAAAATAAAAACAAGAGTTGTGTATAGCAATTTAGAATTAGGCAGGCAGCATGGGTTGCCTTGCAATCGTCCAAATTCACGCTATACAGTTGTGTCCCTTCCAAAGTCCAATGTATGGTGGCTGATTAGTATGGTGGCTGATTAGGGCCATCGCTTTCTCGCCTTAGAATTCGGAGGCGAGAAAGCGAGAAAGCGATATCACGAGACGAGAAAGCGATAACACGAGACGAGAAAGCGATAGCACGAGACGAGAAAGCGATAGCACGAGACGAGAAAGCGATAGCGCGAGACGAGAAAGCGATAACGCGAGACGAGAAAGCGATAACACGAGACGAGAAAGCGATACCATTACGCGAGAAAGCGAGAAGCGAGAAAGCGATAGAGCGAGCGAGAAAGCGATAAAGCGAGAAAGCGATAGAGCGAGAAAGCGATAGAGCGAGAAAGCGAGAAAGCGATAAAGCGAGAAAGCGAGAAAGCGATAGAGCGAGAAAGCGATAGAGCGAGAAAGCGATATTACCCACAATTCAGTGCTGTCTGCGCATGATCGACTGCAAACGGGAGCTCAGTCGCCATCGTAATTTCTGGATAGTATTAAATGGTTTTCAGTAATGTTCTTGCCCACGAATGGCGGTGTATGACTAGACTTTTAGAAAATATCTTATAGAGATGTAGACTTTCTTTTGACATGCAATTTGCACGTATGCAATAGTCATATCGTGAAATAACGGAAACGTTCATTTTGTGATGTGACTTAAGGAATTACATATTTTTTGACATAACTGGCTTCGAATTGTCTTAACCAGCTTAATCACGCCAACCAATTGAATTGTTTCTTTGATGGGCATTTTAGATTTTGAGTTGATGAAGAATAATGACAATTATGTTGGATATACAACTTCTTTTATTCTGTGGAGGCGACGTTTCGACATAGATTCTAATGTCGTTGTCAAGCAAGTGATACATGAGTAACAAATTGAGAGAATATATACATGAGTTGTTATTACGGTAGATAGGGGATGAGTTGTTTATACATTAAATGAGGTTGATGTACAACGCTTGTAGAAGAGATTGAGTAAGTTGATTGGAAGCCAGAAGGGTGATATACAAGGACTGAATTAGAATTTATAGGAGGCCAGGTTGTTGATGTATATACAAAAGATGGGTTTGATGTACATAGTTGAATTGAAACAGATAATGTACACAAGAAATATTATTGATTACTTTATCAAGTAATAATAGGCATTGGGAATGTACTATCCTTCATCTCTGTTGAGAGCGGATCATATCTTCTTGATGTGTACTGCTTCCAAAAGTTTCCGAATTTTCTAGTCTGACTGGTTCTTTTTTATGGTTTTCTTTGAATTATGATGTTGTGTGAGAAATGTGTCGGAAGTGCCAGATGAACGGGAGGGACCTATGACAAATAAGGCATTGTGACGAGTATATTTTCATGTCGATTTCCACCATGAGTGGCCAGCACTAAGACAATCAACCACATCCAAACCAGCATCCTAAAATAAAATCACCGAGTGAGTGTGTGAA